AGGAGTGTCATCCAAACTAGGGAGTATATTTCGACCTAGCCCTTTCATTCAAGCATTCAGAGACGTTGAGCTCTTTTTATATACTTTGAAACTAGTCTCTGATGACATGGGGACCTTGGACTGTGAGCAGCGTCTTAGAGAAGGTCCAGAGGCGGTCGGCAAAAATGATTAGAGGTCCAGGAACACTGCCCTCTGAAAACAGAATGTCAATTCTGAGCCTATTTTTTATTTTCTACAGGCAACTACGAGATTGTCTCATATTAACCTTCGGCATTATGAAGGACCTGGACTATTCCTTTGTTCCAAATTATTCTTTCCCTCAGGTAAACATACCCATTCTGTGCGGCCCTCCATTAGAACTATGTCCAGGCAAATCAAAAATCGACTAACACAAGTTTTTTTAGTGATGGAGTGGTTGCAGCTATGTGAATTCATTTAAGAGGAAGCTGGACACGTATCTACATATTCATGCTTCAATTACACACCGATTATACTACTCGTACTGAATGAGTAGCCGATTAATTGAGAGCTACTCGTTTTTCACCTGCAATAATGTAAACTTGTTTTTTTTTAAATTTTCCGCATAGATCGATGTTTTTCTTAGCCACTTTATAACTAATCAGGACTTCAAAGGCGGCCGCCTACTGCTCCTTCTATAAAATAGAAAGTACCCGATAAAGGTTGTTTACCCACTCGTTATTTTGGCCACGCGGATCAAGGGACAGGTCTTGTATTCCCAAACCGCTGCTAACACTTATAATAAAGGTGATGAAAAAACTCAAAATGGTAGAGAGAGAGAGAGAGAGACGGAAGACAGAAAGCAAATTGAGCGATTCGCAGTGAACAGAAAGTTGGCAAGGTTTATAGACTGCCGTATTTTGTGCTGACAGAGACTTGGGTTGGAGATAGTAGGTGAATGAGGAGGGAGAAATGACTTACAGTCGTCCGTACTGTTCTGCACAGTGGACAAGACCGCAGTGACTGACTTGTTCGCGATTTTGCGTTGAGTCGGGCAAGACCTGACTGTCAGCGCGTGCATGGCCTTCCTCTGAGAGAATAGGGTTCAGACTGGGAGAGGAGAATGGTGCAGATCCAACTACCTGTGGGGCTTCTCCTCCATTAGCCAAGAAGAGGGCTGTACGCAGCCCCGCAATTTCATCCTCCTTCTCGGTTAAAAGATTCAACGTCTGCTCACGGTAACGACGAGCCTCTGTCTCCAACTTTGCTATGTGACCCTCGTAGCGCGTCACAGTTTCCGCGTGCCATTGTTTGGCGTCCTCAGAAGCGGCTAAAAAGGAATTCCTGTTTGTAAGAGAGAAATTCATGGAGAAGGCGGCAAATTACGGTCTTAATTGTACTACTTAACAACACCAAACCCAATTATTCGATTGGCGCAAAATATAATTCAAGAGGATTGTGTACTTAATTTGTTTCTGTTGAAATGCTCTGAACGGTTTATTGAGTGCTTCGGAAGTACAGGCGAACACGAATAGTGCGAGAGGTGAGATAGAATTAATATTGAAACACTGCTTGCAATAAGTGTTTCGTGGATGTTAAAAATGAACACGATGACCGGTTCTGAGGCGCTTGTGAATCTTCCCCACTGGAAACGTTAATTGATCATCAGAATGGAAAAGGGTGAAGCAAAGGCGATTGTACGCATATATATTTGAACTTCGTGACCGAAGCAACCATTTTTCATATACAGAAAATACGATAAGCGTAGCAGCACACACGAAACGTGTCCGTGATCCAAAGCCGATTTCGCGCAAGCCACAAAGCGGTGAATTTCAGTTGACTGGAAGACTGAATACGGCCTCTAGCACATATGGCATAGAGAGGTTTCCTCGCCGCAGTACTCCACTTAGGTTGGGAGGACTCAGTCAAAGGTACATAGACTACACTAGATCTGTTACCATAAAAAAGCGATGCGTGATTTAGATCGATATATAGGTTGGTTAAGATTTACTTGCACTATATAAAAGTCTCCAGTCCATTTATACAGGACTTTAAAATCGTCGGTTTTAGATATAGCAACAAATTGCAAGAATAGTTGCACCTCCAAAACTATGTACGGTTCTCTTCCACAAGAAGGGCTGGTTGGATTGTTGATACTGCGGACTACTGGCAATAGAAAAATAAGCAAAGCCAGAAAACGTTCATCGGAGGATGGAAAGTAATCGATCTCTCGAATACCAATCGAAGTATCTGCCCACTGCACCATCATTAAACAAAGGCAGAGCTTGCGAAGTTCCATGTTTCCACTATTTCTGATTATGAGAACCGGAGCTCAGTTTGTTGTGTGAATTCCATCATTTTTCCTGTAATCCGCGGCACTAAGACGCCGTTAATACCTAATTCACACTGAAAAACTAAAAAACTCGACAGGAATTCGAAAGGTTTGCAGTCCACCTTCGAACCAGGTAAAGATTTACGGTTTTGTGTTATGTCATTCACTGCAGCTCTTAACACCAAAAAAGTAAGGCTACTGAGGTGGCTATATTGGTAAAAGATTCAACCCCTGACTTTGGAATTTATATTCAAATGTATTTCTGTCTATTAAAAATACCCTGACTTCGCCAAACATTGAAAAGCCCAGCTAAATTAGCCGTTTAAATATGAGTAAACAACAAATTTAATGAGTGTTTTTATCTCTTTTGGTTAATTTCACTTAACTGCCGGTGAGTAGGAAGGTACTTTGCAGGAGGTTACAAGCGCTAGAACAGCGCATCCCACGAGGTATATTTCAACCTGCTCACTGAATTTATTAATTTATAGCTTGAAAAGTTAAGTAAAATAGCAAATTGAGGTCGGCAAAACAAACTAGTAGGGCCCTCTAAATATCTATTTCCCCCACCCAACTGCCTAAGGTAGTTTGTGGTCAAACGTTTAATTCTTGGTTAGTGAGCGTAAATGAACATTTAATTGTGGTGGAATTCATCAAAAATATTAAATTAAATAAAATTATATTTGTTTCAATATACTAAGTAGAATAAAATTCAATCAACATAAACTTCTGTTGAGCAGGCTACCGATGCCAATTGAAGGAAATTCAATCTTATATTGTCGAAATTTAACGAAAAGCTAAAATCAACCTTTTATTGGTGGAACTTAGCGAAGGAAAGGAAAAGTCGGGTTACCGAAAATGTAAAAGTAGTTTATTTTTATAACTCAATGATAAAAAGGACCTCTAGATTTAGCCCTGCCGTGAAGTTTTTATGAAAGAAAATTTGAATCCTATAAATCCAGAAATTTTGGATTAATGCAGATTACTTTTCATCAGTGCGGCTCACTCAGGACTAGTATAAAAAATAATGAAAATAACATACCTGCCAGACGAGAACGAATGGAACTCTTGGTAGCCTCCAGTTCAGATAGGAGACTAACATTTTGGGAGCGCAAAAGTTTTATTTGGTCGGCATATTCAGTGTTAGTGTCAACT